CTCTGCCCCGGGTCTCCCCCCCACCCGCCTCTGTCCCCCTCCCTCTGCCTGGGTCTCCCCCCTCTCTCTGCCTCTGTCCTCTCTCTGTCCCGGGTCTCCTGCCTCTCTGTCCCTAGGCTTCCTTCTCCATCTCAACCGTCCCCCTTTCTTCCCTCTTCCGTCCTTCTCTTCCGTCTACTTTTGTTCCAAGCCTCCCCTGCTCCTCCAGGGCTAGGAGTGGGACCGGGTGGAAGAGGTGGGCTCACCAGGCTGCTGGCCCCAGGGAGCCTCTCTCCCCAGGGATGTGAACGGAGACGGGAGGAGGTGCGTGCCTGCTTTGGGGGTTCAGGGTGAGCTGTGGGGACCGTGTTTGATGAGTGTGCCATGAGCAGCAGGGAGCGGCTGGATTCAACTTCAGGGCGCAGGAGAAGTTAGGAGAGGGAGAGGGGGAGAGTGGGCCCACTGAGCCAGGGTGTCTGGCCAGGCGAGGGGCGGAGGCAGGAATGTTCCAGCTTCCTCCTGCTCCCTCTCTGAGCCTCCGTGTCTTCATCTCTGAGGAAAGGGTTTGACCTGATGGGTGAAAGGTGCCTCTGGCTTCCCGGGCGCAAGGTTCTGTCACGACAGGACACGGGCGACCGGCCCCATAATGGTGTTTCTCTGGGGTGCGTCTGTGTGGCGGTGCAGAGTGACCCTCTCCGGCAACAAGTGCTCACAGCACCAGCCAGGCCTGGTGCGAAATGCCTCATTCATTCATTCATTCGTGTGCTAAATGTCTCAATCATGCATTCATTCCTGTTCCTGCTGTTGGCTGTGTGTGTGCATGTGCACGTAGGGGGGGTATTAATAGGCGTGTGACTGACACACAAGTGTGCACGTGGGTTGGTGTGTATGGCTGTGTCTGTGTGTGGTGGATTCACGTGGTGAGGGTGTGATGTGTTGAGACATACTCTGATGCGCCTGTTTGACAGCTGCGAAATGAAACCGCGGACAGGGAGGCTTCCTATGCGTACTTTGTGGACAGCAATGCGAGCGGTCCCCGTGGAAGGTGTTGGTGCTGACGATCTCCCTCTCCGTCTGTCTCTGTCTCTCCCTCTGTCTCTGTCTCTCCCGTCTCTGTCGTCTCACACCACTCTCTCCGGCTGTCTATCTCTGTCTCTGTCTCTCCCTCTGTCTTTCCCTCTGGGTCCTCCTGCCCAAATGTCAGCATTCTGCCTAGATGTGGTCCTGACTCCTGCCCAGACAGCTCCAGGGGACCTGGAGGGCTTAAAGGGGTGAGGCTCAAACACCTGGGGACCAGAGGCAGGTTTCTGGGACACAGAGGGGTATCTCCTGGGTCCCAGGATGGAGAAGCTCCTCAGCTGAGTCTCAGGATGCTAACCCCTCCCTGGGGCTCCCCGTTTCTCACCTTCCCCCAGTATGATGAGCTGCCACACTACCCAGGCATCGCAGATGGCCCCGAAGCCCTGGCTGGCTTCCCAGAGGCAGTGCCCGCAGCACCAGGGCCCTACGGCCCGCCCCGGCCTCCCCAGCCCCTGCCCCTCGGCCTGGACAGCGACAGCCTGAAGAGAGAGAAGGATGACATCTACGGGTGAGCGGGGCCCGGACTCAGGCTCCTGTCCTCTGTCTGTCGTCCTATCTGTCTTTCTGTTTCTCCACTTCCTGGGGTCTGTTCGTGTCTCTCTCTGTGTACAAGTCTCTGTCTCCTCTCCCCTCAGGGCCTCCTGTCCCCCTCCCAGCCCCTCCCCCCCCCCCCCCCCAGCCTCTCCCCCGACCTCTTTCCTTTCCTGTCTCCCCAGACACCCGCTTTTTCCCCTCTTGGCCCTGGTCTTTGAGAAATGTGAACTGGCTACCTGCTCTCCCCGGGATGGGGCCAGCGCTGGGCTGGGGACGCCCCCTGGTGGCGACGTCTGCTCTTCCGATTCCTTCAACGAGGACATCGCTGCCTTCGCCAAGCAGGTGGGCACCCCCGCCCACCATGCACCCACCCGGAGAGCCAGCGAGGAGGGGCGGGTGGAGGCTCGAGGCTCCCCTGCCTGCCTCTCTCTTCCCTCCCAGGTTCGCTCAGAGAGGCCCCTCTTCTCCTCCAACCCAGAACTGGACAATCTGGTGAGACCCAGGCCCTCCCCTGCGCCCCTTCCCATCAGTCTCCTGTCCTGACTCCCCGTTCCTGGGGTTGGTTGAGGGGGTGCAGAGAGGAGCCCGCCTGGTCAATGTCCCCAAACAGCCATGATTGATTGTTGCCCACGTGCCAAGTGGTCCCCGAGAGTCTGAGAACGGGACCCTCGGCCCGAGTTCAAATCCCAGCTCTGCCTCTCCCCAGCTCTGTGACCAGGGCAAGTGGCGTTCCACAACTCAGTGCTTGGTGTCCCATCTGTGAAGTGTGGCTGGTAGTAGTAATTTCTGTCTTGGAGGGCGGCTGTGGGGATTTTTTTTTTTTTTTTTTTTTTTTTTGAGACGGAGTCTCACACTGTCACCCAGGCTGGAGTGCAGTGGTGCAATCTCGGCTCACTGCAACCTCCTCCTTCCGGGTTCAAGTAATTCTCCTGCCTCAGCCTCCTGAGTAGCTGGGACTACAGGCACACACCACCACGTCAGACTAATTTTTTGTATTTTTAGTAGAGACGGGGTTTCACCATGTTGACCAGGATGGTCTCGATCTCTTGACCTCGTGATCCACCCACCTCGGCCTCCCACAGTGCTGGGATTACAGGCGTGAGCCACCGCGCCCGGCCGACTGTGGGGAGCTAATGAGCGAAAGCGAACCAAGTGTATGGGACAGCGCCTGGCACACAATAGGGCTCAAAAAGTGTCCGATGTTCCATCCGTCAGGAAAACAGCACCCACGCCAAAGTAAGCACGGGGACTGCTGCCCAAGGAGAGGAGGCTGGTGCGGCCGCTCGCGCCCGTAACCGCAGCCACGGCCAGGAGATAGCTTGAGTGTGCCAGGGAGCACCCTGGGCAATGTAGTGAGACCCCATCTCTGCAAAAACATTTAATTAGCGGGGTGTGGTGGCACGCACCTATGGTCCCAGGCACTTGAGAGGCGGAGGCAGAAGGATCGCTTCAGCCCCAAGAGGTCGAGGCTGCAGTGAGCCTTCCTCAGCTCCACTGCACTCCAGCCTGGGTGACAGAGCAAGACCCTGTCTTTCATAGATATCTAGAGAAAGAAAGAAAGAAAGAAAAAGAAAAGGAAGGAAGGAGGGAGAAAGGAGAGAGAGAAGAGGCGGGGCGCAGTGGCTCATGCCTATAATCCCAGCACTTTGGGAGGCCAAGGTGGGCGGATCATGAGGTTAGGAGTTCGAGACCAGCCTGGCCAACATAGTGAAACCCTGTCTCTACTAAAAATACAAAAATTAACCAGGCATGGTGGCAGGTGCCTGTAATCTCAGCTACTTGGGAGGCTGAGGCAGGAGAATCGCTTGAACTTCGGAGGTGGAGGTTGCAGTGAGCTGAGATTGTACCACTGCACTCCCAGCCTGGGTGACAAGACTGAGACTCCGTATCTAAAAATAATAATAATAAAAAGAAGAAGAAGACAAGAAAGGAGGGGGAAACACCTGGCTTCTCCTGTCCTTTGCTCCCCAAGCTCTTGCCAGGGCTTCCTATTGGCCAAACGCTTTGGCAAAGGGCTCTGGGAAATGTGGCTTGCAGGTGGGGGGTGGGCCCGGAGCTGGGGGCCTGGAGGCGGAGGCGGTGGTGCTGAGGGGCCGCTGGGCTCACCTTCGCTCTTGCCCTTGTGATGGGCCCTTGTTCGCCTCCTGCCTTTCTCTCCTAGCCTGTCCCTGTCACTCTAACATCTCTGTCCTTCCCTCCGGCCACGCCGCTCTGGCTCTGTCCTGCGCTCCACCCCGTCTCTGTTCTCTCTCCCCACTGCACCTGCTGACTTTGTTGTCTCCTGTCTGGGTCATTTTATTTCACTCCTTCTGTTTCTCTGTCTCTCTTCTCTTCCTCCTCCTCCTTCCTCCCTGCTCCCTCCCCTGACTCCCTCCGTCTCCCCTCACCTCCCATCCCTGTTTTCAGATGATCCAGGCCATCCAAGTGCTGCGGTTCCACCTGCTGGAGCTGGAGAAGGTGAGCGCGTCTCACCCCCCCCCCCCCCCACCCCCTCCCTTGCCCCCCCATCCCACCCCCTCTTGTCACCTCCACCCCCCACCTTCCAGCTCTCTCCCCACTGGAGTTGAAGCAGAATGCCGCCCCCAGTCCTGTGCACCCCAGCCCTGCACCCCCGGGTGGCCCCCCCCAGTACCCCGGTGCCCCCCCAGGTCCACGACCTGTGCGACAACTTCTGTCACCGCTACATCACCTGCCTCAAGGGAAAGATGCCCATCGACCTGGTCATCGAGGATCGGGACGGCGGCTGCAGGGAGGACTTCGAGGACTACCCCGCCTCGTGCCCCAGCCTCCCAGACCAGGTGGGCCCCGGGGGGGTGCCATGCAGCATCCTGCAGCCACCGCCATGCCTGGACACCACAGAAGGGCGCACACGCACCACACAGCTGCAGATGGGGCCACAGTCGGCCTGATCATGGGGCACACATATGCACACAGCCACGCAGATGGGGACACACACACACACACACACACAGCCATGCAGATGGGGACACACACACACACATGCACACAGTCACGCAGACGGATACACACACACACACACACACACACACACACACACACACACCCCAGTGGCTGCAGGCACCACCCACAGACTCTGCTACATCCACACAGGTCCACACATGGGCACACCAGCTGAGCAACAGCCATTTCCGCTCACAGCCGGACGCAGCATTTACCGTGAACTCACACACACATCCCAGCCGTACAGCAGCAGCATGGAACACGGCCGCATTCCGCACCCCGCTCTCGAGCACCTGTGTGTCCACCGCATACGCACACCCACTCCAGCCACACAACAGCCACACAGATGGAGACAGAGCCAGACAGCCCCAGGCACTGCCCGGCGAACTCAGATACAGGCACGCTGCGGCCCAGACTGGCCACAGTGCCCTCTTGCACACACGTGACCCTGGCCACGTAACAGTCGGGCTGCAGCCGAGATGGCACACACACCACTCATCCACGCAGACTTGGAAGTAGACTCACAGGCTCAGATGCAGCCGCATAGAATCAAACCCAGCAACTCAATGAGGTGGCGCCGTGTCAGTCGGAGCCTCACTAGTTTTATCCACTTAGGACACCAGACAGCAAACACACACGGGACAGCCGTGTGGATCCCAGCTCGCTGAGGCTGCGTAAAAAGTCACACGAGAGCCACACCCATGCAGTCCTGCTGCCGGCACACCGGGCAGTGACATCCTCACAGCACATGCACACACACCCACCCCACACAGCCTTGGATACACACACGTGATGACCACCCCACAGCCAGACACACCCATAGTCCTGGAGCCTCGGTCTTTTTTTTTTTTTTTGAGATGGAGCCTCACTTTGTCACCTAGACTAGAGTGCAGTGGTGTGATCTCAGCTCACTGCAACCTCTGCATCCTGTGTTCAAGCAATTTTTCTGCCTCAGTCTCCCATCTAGGACTACAGGCACCTGCTACCACACTGGGTAATTTTTGTATTTTTAGTAGAGACAGGGTTTCACCATGTTGGCCAGGCTGGTGTTGAACTCCTGACCTCAAGTGATCTGCCCTCCTTAGCCTCCCAGAGTGGTGGGCATGAGCCACTGCGCCTGGCCAAGTCCCAGAGGCTGGTACCCACTTTCACAGGAATCATAGCAGTGTGCAGATGAGACAACCGAACCCTCAAACTACAGTCACAAACAGAAAAATGTAGCTCCTGGTGATGGCCGGGAGCGGTGGCTCACACCTGTAATCCCAGCACTTTGGGAGGCCAAGGCAGGCAGATCACAAGGTCAGGAGTTTGAGACCAGCCTGGCCAACATGGTGAAACCCCATCTCTACTAAAGATACAAAAAATTAGCCGGGTGTGGTGGCACACACCTGAAATCGCAGCTACTCAGGAGTCTGAGGCAGGAGAATCGCTTGAACCAAGAAGGTGGAGGTTGCCATGAGCCAAGATCGTTCCATTGCACTCCAGCCTGGGTGACAGGGCAAGACTCCGTCTCAAAAAAA